GGACTTCCATATATAAATCTTTATCTCTGGACCATTATTGAACTCCTCGTGACATCTGGGATCTCATCCGGGACTCCGAACAACATTCGATAACCATATACTATTTCCCATAACAACTCTAGCATCACCGAACCTTAAGTGTGTAGACCCTACGGGTTCGGGAATCATGCAGACATGACCAAGACATCTCTCTGGCCAATAACCAATAGCGGGATCTTGATACCCATGTTGGTTCCCACATGTTCCACGATGATCTCATCGGATGAACCACGATGTCCGGAGTTCAATCAATCCCGTATACAATTCCCTTTGTCAACCGGTATGTTACTTGCCCGAGATTCGATTGTCGGTATCCCATAACCTCGTTCAATCTCGTTACCGGCAAGTCTCTTTACTCGTTCTATAATGCATGATCCCGTGACTAATGCTTAGTCACATTGAGCTCACTATGATGATGCATTACCAAGTGGGCCCAGAGATACCTCTCCATCATACGGAGTGACAAATCTCAGTCTCGATTCGTGCCAACCCAACAGACACTTTCAGAGATACCTGTAGTGTACCTTTATAGACACCCGGTTACGTTGTGACGTTTGGTACACCCAAAGCATTCCTACGGTATCCGGGAGTTGCACAATCTCATGGTCTAAGGAAATGATACTTGACATTAGAAAAGCTCTTAGGAAACAAACTACATGATCTTGTGCTATGCTTAGGATTGGGTCTTGTCCATCACATTCTCCTAATGATGTGATCCCGTTATCAATGACATCCAATGTCCATGGTCAGGAAACCATGACCATCTATTGATCAACGAGCTAGTCAACTAGAGGCTCACTAGGGACATGTTGTGGTCTATGTATTCACACATGTATTACGATTTCCGGTTAATACAATTATAGCATGAACAATAGACAATTATCATGAACAAGGAAATATAATAATAACCATTTTATTATTGCCTCTAGGGCCTATTTCCAACAACATCTTCACCAGCACCATCTCATCTACAAACACTAGTTCTTCCCTTACTTTCAATCTTTGTATCAAACCTCAGATTGTTACCTAGGGGTGCTAGTAGTGTTGATTACATCTGGTTGTTGATGCTAGTTGGTTTACTTGGTGGAAGGTTATATATTCAGATTGTTAATCACTTATTTATCTCCTCTGATCATGAACACGAATATGATTTGTGATTAGTTCTATTTTGTTCCTGAGGACATGGGAGAAGTCTTGTTATAATTAATCATGTGAAGTTGGTTTCCGTTCGATGTTTCGATGATGTGTTATGTTATTCTTCCTCAAGCGGTGTCATGTACACGTCGACTGCGTGACACTTCACCATGTTTGGGCCTAGGGGAAGGCATTATGGAATTAGTTTATAGATGATGGGTTGCGGGAGTATTGAAACCTAAACCTCGGTTTCTGAGATGTTCCATAAGGGGTTATTTTTTATATATATGTTTCATGTTTTGGTTAGATTATCTTAATTCTTCTCTTGTATTTGCGGGTGCTTGGATGGAGGGGGTAATCATAAGTAGATTGTTTGTTAAGCAAGAACAACACCTTAGTTCTGGTTCGCCCACATAACAACTTATCAAAGCAATGGATGTGAGTCAATGAATTGTGGAGAAAGTAACTTGACAAGTTCCCGTGTCTCCACAAGAACGATTTGTCGCTATAATTATCTCTGCCCTGTCTTTAGCAATATTATGGATTGGGCTACCTCGCTGCACATTGTTACTTTGGTTACCTTTTTACTTGCTACCAATTTTTTTTCTTCTATATGTGACATCCCAAATTTTGGAATAGTAATTATAAGATATTACTAATTGAATTGTTGTGATTTTTAGGGAAATTAAAACCTTTTGAGTTCTTGTTTTACAATTTGCAAACAACGTTGTAAAAGTTGGATAACATGTTATCTAATAAAGAAAACTACGGTTGGAAAATGTATTCAAGAATTCAAAGGGCGTTCATTTCTCTTTGACTCTTTTGAAATTTTCTAAAATCGCATTCAAATAGACGAGTGAGAATAGAATGACTTTCCCAATTGTGGTAGAAGAATATTTCATGGAGGAATTTATTTTAAATTAGACATTCCCTTTCTAGAATTTGGAGTTGGATCGCATCTAGAATCTATTTAAATATTTCCAATGATTCATCAAATCAAATATGAGAGGAGATAATATGACTTCTCCAAAATCATTATTGGAAATATTTAGTATTGCTTACTTGTTACTTGGGGTATTATAG